TCACCAAGTATGGTACACAATAACTATTATCATTATTATTGGTAATTTTTATCAACAAAGAAATTACTTTTTTCATGAATTTTATTCATTCATTTTTCATTCACATGTATGGATCATGGGGAACAAGAACATAGATAACACATAATTACATAAACAATGCTAAATAAACAATGCCTGAAAAAAAGCAACTGAACAATAGTCCCAATAGAGGGAGCTATTTTCATTTCTTGCATATACTGACATAAAAACAATGTAATCAATTAATTTCAACACAAGAGGGCTCTGTTTTCCTAGCTCTATGTTGATCCTTCAATTCTCTTGATTCAAAAAGTACTGAAAATTATACCGATATACTTACCTTCCATACAAATCAGACAGGTTTTTTAAATACATTTCTGAATCTATCTGATTTGACAATTTCTCAGTTATAACTTCCTGAAAAATGAACACAAAAATGAAAGACATAGTCAACAAAATGTTGTAAAGTGTTGAAAATTTTAATAATTTGATAATGAAGGCTACCCCAAACAACTTTATTGAGAGTAACACCTCGTCTGAAAAACACTGAAAGTTTACTGCAACATATTTTGTGAAAAATAGTCCTTCACAAAATTAAATCATATTGCTTAGCATAATAGTTAAATTATAGCACACTTGTAGTTTATATTCCATAACCATCACGTGACCATGATTTCATAAGAACACAATTTTAAAATATTCAATACACCAGCATTCGATTATACAAGTTGATTCATGTCATCTTTCACAATGTTAGTAATATTGTACGAAAAACCTCACGATCAAAAATTCAACTTTGGAGCTGAGAACCATTTTCATGCAGGGAACGGAGTATATAATACACAAGGGTCACATATATATAGATACATATATAGAGCCAATAACAAATCATACCTGCAACTTTCCTTTGTAAATATTTAAAACAAACTTCCCCATCACTGTCTCAGGTGCACTAATGAAAACTGCCATAATCACTTTATTGACCTGTGAATAAAAGGTCAAAGGTTAAAGGTACGGCACAACATATTTACAACTTTAGTTTGAACACTAATAATCTTTGAGAGAGGTGCTGTTTCTTCCATGATTTCCTCAATTCTCCTTACTTCCTGGTGTTACAGCAAGGTGAAATATACATACTAGTAGTCTTATTTAGGAACATATGGACAATGTACTTGTATTGAAATTGCTTTGTGAAACATTTTTTATTAGAAGAAATCTGTCACAGCACTAAATAATTAAAACTTCCAATAAATGTTGAGGAAGCAACCACAAATTAGACAATTCCAGTCTTGTATTCTTGTAATTATCATTCTTTAATATCAAGACTGTAAACATAAAGGAGTCTCTCCTACAACAACAACAGTATTATGTTGTTTCTTTAATAACATTATACTACATTAACAGAAAATTTATGATGCCGGTACGTACTTTTTGACAGAGGCTTAACAGCTCAGGAAACAAATCTTGATGCCACAGCAAAGGCTGCAAAATAATGTGAATCTTGGGTTAGAAGACAGTGTGAGCTGTACAATCTAAAATAGGTGCGAGGGAATCACCAAGATGAGAATCTATCTGAATATTAAACTCAATAGGTTTGAGTATAATAGAAATAGGTGTAAAATACTACATAAATTAGACCTTACTTTCTCATGAGATTGATCACTGTACTCGTCTGCCACTCAACCAAATCAAGACCTAGATGAGCTAATTATCATTATCTCAATTCAGATGAATTTGTTGGTTTCGGATTCTTAAATTTGGTATTTCTTGACGTATTTATATATTGAGGAAACTGAAACTGTTTGACAAAGATTGGAAACTTACCTTTTGACTTTCTTCAATAAAAGCATCAATACAATCAGAGTAACCCTGTTAGACATAATGTGAGAGGGTAAATAAATTAACATGATTAACACACGGTGACAGAACAGATTATATATTCATAACACGGCATGTGGCACATAACAAACATTGTAACACAAATTTAAATTTGTTTGTATTCACATCTCCCTCAATCCTTTTAAATTAGGCAGACAATATCCAATCCCCCCCCCCCTATTTCAAAATACTTCTTAATACTGAAGTATATTATGATCAGGTTAAATACCGGTAATGTCCTGATACATTTCTAACAAACTATACCACTGAGGGCAGTATATAAGGCAAATGGTGAGAAAGCCTAGAAATCAAATCCACATGTAAATGTTCAACTAAACATTGCCGTAATACTGCTAGAACACTGAAGGCCTAAATTGAATTGTCAAATTTCATTATAATATCATGGATTTATAAAATATTAGTCGCATAAAATTGTGAGATTATCACAAAATCATACATTTCTAGATGCAGATGAGTTCAAAGCATTCATCTCAGGTAGTTTTTGTTTGAATCTTACCGTATTAGGCATTTTTTGTTTTTCAATTAAACTTTCCACATTTCTGTTTACACAACTAATCCTTTATAAGAATCCCCTACTCAATTCTGTGACATCATTGGTCAGAAATACTTGTGATTAAAGAAAGCAAATATTGCATACAGAATAAGGTTTTCATCGCATATCACTGTGTGCATGGATGTCAAAGTTGTATAACCTCACCTTATAAATCAGAGAATAATGATAATGAGAAAATGTTGTGTACAATAAATATAGAGGTTGCTGTTATTTTATGTTACCTTGAAATGCAAAAGTATTGTTGCTAAATCTTTCATTCTTTGGGTATCACCAGCTGTGTGTGCTGATTTGAACTCTGATATTAGGTCCCTCTCAATTTCTAAACATTTAGCTACAAAGAAAAAAAATGCAAAAATTTGGTAATGACATCTGTTGTACACTCAAGACGCTTGTTCTGTGGTTACTGGTCAAACATTTGTTTTTCAGTTTGAATACTATATGTACTATTCTGAATACTACAAAAAACCTGTCTAAATAAATAGATAAACTTAGATATTGGTCAGAATCTTTAAACTTTATTTCTACTGGTGTGTTTCAACAGTGTGGCTAATCCAATTATAGTACAACCGTACGCCAGACAATGAAATCCCCAGATGTCCACCGCTGAAAATAGAAGTTATCTTCACCCACAGTCAGCTGGCGCACGTGTTACAATAAAATAAATGCGATATTTACTATATGGGGG